CTTTTCATTCCACTTGGAATCGCTTCGATACAATCTTGCTTGTATGAAAGGCAATCTACTAAACTTTTAATAATGTTTAGTGCGAATATTGGTGAATTCAATGCCATGGCCACCTATTTCGTGGAAATATCGGTGTGAAAAATATCACTGTCAACTACACGGGGAAATTCACATCTCGTTTTCTCCCTGATGTCACTGCACCGTTCGCTTCCGCATCGATGAACAATCCATCTCACCCACCCCTTGCCCAGATGCGCTCTATGCTGTACTCTCCTGTGGATATTACGGATCTCTTAGGTCATAGCTCTCCATTTTGGAACAAGTAACGCATTCGAGCTCTGAATTGAATAGCTTGCTCGTACTACCAATTGTTGTTTCCTGCAAGGCTTCTCCCTTTGGATTTCCCTTTCATCATCCAATGAACGTTTTTGTTTGGACGTATTTTACACTACTTAATTTTAATTTCCATAGGGGATTCGACTGGAGCGTTTGTTCTTTGGTGGTCAGTTCCAACAAATGCAATCTTTCCTTCATTATGCCATTTAATGAAAATTTACTCATAATCACCCCATTCCAGCTGTTGCAGTGTGAAATTCTCTTGCCAGAAAACGCTCATTCAGAGTCCAAACGTGAAAGTATATAATTAGAAATGCCTAGACAATTATATGTCATTAAACTTTGCGCAAAGATCGATAGCGCAGCTCACTGCTTTTGCGAAGTCTCCTCGAGGATTAGAAGTTTCGAATCTATAAGAGAACACAGTATTCTTTGGTTACTCATATAAAAGTATAAAGTTCGATGCCATTGATTAATCCCATTTGAGATTCCACCCTCGATATCATTCAGAATCGTGGAGTAGTCGTGAATGCGTCGTGGCCTATGCAATGACTTGCGGTGGCCAGCCAAGGTAAAGTCTATGATCTTAACCTCCCAGACGAGTCTGGTGTCAATCAACCGACGCCGGAAGGATGGAAGGCTTTGTTGGCTTGGGCGAGTGTCGATCCGAATTCGATCCGAGAGCGCGCGTGTGTGATAGGGCGCCACTTGCTTCTACACTACCTTCCTGTACTTGTAACACCAAAAAGAGTTGCAAATCACTATTTCCCATATGCGAACATTAAGTCCGTACTAATTTTCTTTTTCCTTCATCTCATGATCAACTCTCAGCAACCGCGGTTAGCTGGCTTTCAGCGGAGCTCACTGCGTGTGAAGCTATTTATTCCCAAGGAGAAACTTGAGAGTAACCAGTAATTAGCAGGCGTAGTGGAACAACATGTAGAATACTTACATGTGATATTTTCTTTGTCTAATTACTCCATTGCCTCCACCAGAAAATAGGAAGTAAAGAGGAAGAGAAATCAGGCTCATGATAATGAACATGGGCTCGAATTCTTATGGCTTGGTGAGAATCAGAAAAAAATTCTTTGCACAAATAAGTTTCCCAAATAATCCCATGAATGGAGTCCTTGTTAACTTGAGGAGGCAATTCCAAGAGCACCCCTTCTTACATCAACTGTCAGGGCCGTTGGATGCTCGTAGATGGCAGAACTAGCCCAAAGAATTCTCATCTTTTCACTGATTCAGCTAGTTCCCATCCGTTTGGAATAAGTTTGAGTTTTCAAGAGGAAAAAGTTATTCGTTTCCAAAGATTTTACGGCTTCTGATTTTCCACTATTCGCATTCTGACGTTTATCGATCTTTCTATAAAATTTGTTCATAGTTTATTGTTGCTGTTTTTAGAGCCGCTGATAACACCTTTCATATGTGGTCGTTATCCTTCGTATAGTGCTTGAAAAAAAGTTACATTCCCGTCCAGAACAATTCAGTGGGCATAATTATCTATAGGGTTAGCTATGTATGCGGAGGAGTGATCCTCCACCTTTCACATTTCCCACTGAGGCTAGGACAGTAAAGAAACATGGTAAATACATCACGCACAAAAAAAAACTGATTGACACCTGGTTCAGGATTATCCGTCGATATTTCAAGCAAAAACTAAGAGTAAATGTTCCTGCTGACGTTTTCCTTCCGTCTGTTCCATGTTTTCGTCCATCAATGGAAATTAAGGAAGCATCCCAGATGTCACTACTACGTCTAAGGAGAGCTTGCAATATTTCTTCTTCAGCCTAGTCAACATTAACTAATGGGCTCCTAGCTTCTTGCATACTGCAGTACAGAGGGCTTTTAGTCAGATTGAGGGATAAACATACTTCTGCTATTTCAATGGATGGTTGGGCGAGTTGGCAAAGCTTTTTGGGTGATCAATTTTGTCTTTAGGTAAGCCCAGACTCTCGACTCTTGTTCCGAGCTGTAGTGGAGTTTAAATTCATTTCGGGATATGGAATGACTTGCGGAGTCTGGGGACGGCAGCGGTGACCATTGCTTTTACGTCCTGAGCGGGACTAATATGTAGTGGGGAACTCACTCCGTAATAATGGGAGATTCAATATGAGCCTGAGCGGATAAAAGTCTGGGATTTGATCCTTCCATCGTAGCTGTGATGACAGCTGGAATTCTCGGCTTCACTTTCCGTAAAATCAGACATCGAGTCAAGTAGGATGGTTCTTCCACTAATATTCTGCTAATACGGCTACATTTCTATCCTACTATCAAATTCGGAAGCCACCTGTTAATAGGAGATAGAAGGGACATGTATAAGGACCGATTCGAGTTCTTCAGGCAGCATATCCTTCACACTGTTGCCCTTCCTCTGAATTTTTGACACCCTGTTGAGTGATGTTTTTTGATTATCTTCTTCGCAATCACCATTCCAGAATGATGTAATGAGAACTTTAATGTTGCAGAGTCTGAACACTACTTACTAGTGTTTTATCACGTGAGCAAGAAGGATCAGCTTATCAGTTCTTCACCTGTCATTAAAAGATTCATGTGTACAAATAATTGCCCCTCACAGCCAGAAGAAATCATCGAACATCGAATAATCAGGAATAGCAGGTGGAAACCAAGAGTAGCAACCACAGAATGTGAAGTCAAAATGAAATTTTCACCTAGCCTTCCATCGGTTGGTCATTTGGAATCGGCTGGTTGGTACCAGACTCACCCGGGAGGATAAAAACACCGACTTGTAAATTGGCTGGCCCCCGCAAGTCATAGTATGTAAATAGGTCACGAACGCATTCAACCCCACTACAATTTCGAGTAGAAGTCGAGTGCGGTGGCTCATCCCGAAACGGGATGGATTAACGAATTTAGCCGAAGAATTTATCCTTGTATTTTTATGTTTTCTTCAGATTTCATTGCTTCTGAGGAAACCTCGAATCTCAAATTATCAACGAGATTCCAACCAGATAAATATCAATAATTCAAGATGGTATATATGATCAACGCCCAATATTACTACATATGCTCCCATTGCAGAATTCAATGATCACGTCTTTGTACTTATGAAAATTTATATTGGGAATTACAGCCATACCAATTTAATGCTGTAGACGAGAATGCAAAGAAGGATGATGTCGGAGAAGAGAAACATCGGAAAAAGTTGCAAACTGCAAGTGTTATCCTGCTTATCAAATCTTTTATGCCAATTTTGGATTGGCTACCGAAGTAGGTCTTTTTGAACATTTCTTTTTACTAGGTATCATTTATACTCAACACTTGTTCACTACTAATTATTACTCTTTATTAATGCCCAACAACTTATTCGATTTATTTATTGCTAGATAACTAGGAAATCAGTAAAAAGGTGATAGTTCCTCTGGAACTCGCTGCGCACTGCACTTCAACCCGATTTTCTGGTTTTATTTGCAAGGTAATCAAAGCTGTCAAACGATGCTGAGGCCGAAAATATTTAGTTGCCTTCTTGGTAGATGATCTCGGTTTTTTTGGAACTTGTAGGGTGTGGTGGTCGTTCAGTAAACAACTGTAGCCCTATCGGGTATTATGTTTTCTCAAGAGACTGCATAATGTTTGAGTAAGACTGTACAATGATCGACTGATGTCTGTAATCGATAAGAGGTTTTTTTTTTTTTGAGAGAGGGATACCCGAAAAAACAAGTATCAGGGATTTGTTTGATTATAACTTAGGAACCAGGAACCAGTTGTCGATCTATGTACGGCAGTCGTCTTTGTGTAGTGTTTGTCATTTTCGGCGACTCTTTTAGCGGTTCCAGATTTAGCGCGAGTACTTGAAGAAGGCAGTGGTTTCGTTGAGGAAGAGCCAAAGACTAGTCCGAAGGAGGCCGTGATGTGTTAATGGGGTTAGCCCCTGATTAGAGCAACTCGTGGAAGTGGCGGCGATGAGGGAGGGGATAGTTTCTACGGCGATTTCACCAAATTTTTCGTTAACAAAAAGTAACGCGCAGGGTACAAATAGTGACAAAAACATTTTATAAAGCTAATGTGATAAAAAATGAAAACGGAAAGGAAAGGAGTGCATTGCTGAAAAATACACAAGTGTTTCTTCTACTCTTTTATATGTTAAGCCCACATTTGACCCAGTAGATGCTCTCCTTCGTTGCCAATATTTTGATGGAGAGGTTCCACAATTTTTTCGGTTAGCTTGGGCTTGATGTAGTCATTTTCCTATCAGAGTCCTTCGAAAGGGCGATCAGCTTTTCTTCAAAGTATCCCCATAGGAAAAACCTTGTTGATGAAGAAGGAAGACCAGTTGTTTTACTTTTATTCGAAGGCGGTACCTTCCACCCGTAATCTGCAACCCTCTGAGGATTGGAAGAACAGGAATGCGGAGAAATCACTCGGGAACCATGCTTTTCTTCCGGTGACAACTTTACAATAAAGTTCCCTTAAGAATCGCTATCATATAAATTCTAAGTATCTGCCAGTTAAATAACACTCATGCACTTTACGCGAATGTGTTTGCTTATTTTTGATAAAGTTTTCTCATGTCCTTCGAAAACACGATCTCAGCCCTGTACAAGGAGATTTTGTTGCTTAGTTCACTACGTTCAATTGTCCTTTTGAATAAGGCACTGCTCTGAACTGGTTTTCTGAGTACTGCGGGTAAAGACCACAACAGAATGACTTGGTCACCCAGGAATGTTGACCCAATCTTATCTCGGTCTCTTCCCACAGCTACAATCAGGGCAAAAAGGTATGTCTCATTTTTTCCGTGAAAACAAGATTTGCTTGGGGATTGTTGTGATAGGAGGGAACACATCCTGTTGATTCCCGTGCGACACTGATAAGGAGGAGTTGTCATTCGAGTCAAATTTCGCCACTTAGGCTTATCATGGTTGTTGTTCCATCATTACCAGCTTTTTCTTATCATTACGGAAGTACGCCTAGTTTAGTTTACGATCGCCATCTGCGGTAGCGAGGCTGGAGCGCCTCTTTCGGGAAAGGATTCGGAGTGATCGTTCAGATAGTGCGGAGAACACTACGTCATATCATGGGCAGGGGCTGTGTTGTCCCTTCAATTCTTCAATAATGTCAAGAAAGGCACGGGAACCCGTCAATAAAATGAACACGAAATATTCTACAAACACAGTTGATAAAGTCTTCTGATAAGTACATGAATGTAAGAAAATCGGTGTGGTGCGAAAACGAACGAAAGTCTCGGCTCTCAGTAACTCTTACAGTACTCCAGAGGGGTAAATTTCGCTTAAGTGAGGCCTAAGCTGATGTAATCTCAGACTTCATAGGATGCGAACTTGAGGAAGAAAAAGCCAAGCTCTGGTCCTTCTCAGGATTAGAAGTTGAATGTTCTTGTAGTAATAGAAGAATGAAGTTTCGGCGTTAATCAATTGCGTTCTCGAGATACACCGCGCATTCAACTTCTATTAAAATTGCAAAGCGGTTTGAATGCGTTTGTGACCTATATAATGCACATATAGGTGTGGCCAGCCGTTGTACAAGTCAGTGCTTTGATTCTTCGTCAGGTATCTGGTATCAACTAATCGATATCATGAAGGGTCGAAAAGCCTAGTAGGCTTGGGCGAGTATCGATCCGAGTCTCGATCACCGGACCGCGTATGGTAGGACGCCACTTGCCGCTACATAATCTCCGCTCTCCCTCGTGATGATATCACTATTAAATTTAAATGATTTTTTATAATAATTTAGATGTGGTCGGAATAAGATAATTCTGATAAATTGTGTTGTGATAGATATAAATTTACCACAATTTATTAATCACAATAATCACATTCAGGCTATCCGAATAATAGCGAAAATAACTTCAGCAATTCTCATCTAATTTAGCGCGCTCCACATCTTTTCCGAAAAATTCTCCGGTCCACTGAAGAGAATAGTTACAGCAGAGTAAACAGATTTTCAGTAGAGATTGTTTTCAGTTACAAATGGAAGGAATATTTTCATGGGGATCTTATTGCTGGATTAACGGTCGGTATCATGCATGTACCACAAGGTAAAGTCTTTTTCTCTATAAAGATGCCAGGGTGGATCGTACAGTGGAAGCGCTTCACCAGTAACCCTTTCGAATCCATGGGTAATGTAACCGATGGGGTTTCTGGATCAGAGGAAGGGCTACAACCCTTGCATTATAAGAAGCTACCAAGTTAACACCACCACACTCGGTATCGTGGGGTTTCTCGTCCACTGCGCAAAGGTGGTAAAACACTTCCAACTTCTTGAGCGATTTTGATCTGAATAATTTCAGGAATGGCCTATGCCAGTCTAGCTGGCGTACCACCTGTCTACGGAATGTATTCATCATTTTTTGCTTCTACAGTTTATATGTTTTTCGGTACGGCTCGTCATGTGTCAATAGGTCAGGACTTCATTTTTATTCTGATACGTCAGAATCCCTAACTATCGTGAAGTTAAGGTGTTTTTGCTGTGGCATCGTTAATGGTTGGAGCGTGTCGACTTCGACTTGTGCCCGATACGGACGACATCCTGACTAATTCGACCTCACCTTTGGGTGATGTGGCAGCTCTGGAGTTGACTAGCGCACTGACACTTGTAGTTGGTGTTGTTCAGGTAGGACGGCTTCGATCAAGAAGGTGAATGATGCCAACTGTAACCCATTTTCTAAGTTGCGCTCATGATTCATCGCTTTGGGATGCGCCATGCACTAGCTATGTACTCTATCGAATTTATGAATATTTAAGGGTGCAATCGGCTCGTTAATAATTAGTTTGTTTCTTCCTTTTTCTCCCCACGGGAAAATTCACCTAATGCGCTCAAGCATGAGAAGCTCCGATATCACGCACTACTGTAGCTATGGCTAAATTCCAGTCGGGGGATGTCAATATCAAGGATCACTTCGACCACATTTCAGATCCTCTTTGGAATTCTACGACTTGGCTTCCTCACTACATACCTATCCGATCCGTTAGTCTCAGGCTTTACAACGGGTTCTGCTGCTCATGTCATGGTATCACAATTGAATAAGGTGATAGGCGTCAAACTGCCCAGATATGAAGGAATGGGCATGCTACTTTTTGTGAGTTCACGAGTTCTTATATCAAATACTCTCCGACACATCCATGAATCCATGGGTATTCTGTTGAACATTTCAGATGGTGCGAGATCTTATCTACTCTATTCCATCGGCAAATTTGGTTGCATTGTTGATATCCGTAGCTGGAATAATGTTTCTGGACCTTGGCCGTACATATCTCAATCCTGTGGTTAAACGATTTTCTTCTGTGCCACCGCCACTTGAGCTTATACTGGTTGGTTGTATATTTTTCATCAAATTTCTCAACCTGCGAGCATCAGCTTGTGCCAATGGCGTCTATAGGAAATAATCTCATTCAGAAAAGGGTGACGAAGTTCAGAAGGGGGAGGGGGCTGTATTACAAAGCGTGGGTGAGCCTGAGTACGCTGTGAGTGTAGAATGACGTAATTTCCATCTCTAAATGGGTTCGTTCCAACGTGTAAGTGAAGATCATTCAGTCATGGCACAAATGGAGCGATCCCCGGTGAATTGAGGGCTCGATTAGTACCACTGGGCTTGACGGGCCATCCAGAATTCGATCCCCCACTATGCGTGTATGATAGCGCTTCACTACACCACCTCGGCCCAAAAGGGCTCAGATGTCTTGAAAATAGAATTCAACCGCTCGGAAAAACTCCTTATCCATCTCAACCTCTAATTCACTTAGGAAATAATTTATTCGGATTTCAGGTCATCATCGGTGTCATACTCTCAGTGACGTTAGACCTCAAGGAGAATTACCATATCTCTATAGTAAACACTATACCAAGAGGGTATGTTGTTCGATCCTTGAAAAGCCATTTGTATTTGAAAAAAATCATACAGTCAAATCATAATCGTATTCTTTATATGGTACGGCGCTGAAAAAGAATTGTTCTTGAGAAACCTTTGAATTCGCGTAACATAAATTATGATACTCTCCTACTCTCTTCCTTCCGATTCGCGATATCGAAGGCAATACAGTGTACTTCCACAGGACCAAGTCTCTCTTGATGGATTCGAACCTGCCCAAGTTGTGAGACTTGTACTTCTCCCGAAATTTTAAATATAAGTTTTCAGATGCGGACCAAAGTCGACCTAACCATACTAACCGCAATTCACTGTAGTGGTCCAATACACTTACCTGAGTCTCTGAGTTTTAGTCGAATAGAGCAATCCATACCTTCAGAATTACTGTTTGATCCAGAGGCTACGTTTTCTTTCTCGGTTTGCTGGTAATTTTTAGAAAGGCCACGTCCTCGAACTCTATTCAACAGTATTCCTTTTTTTGACAACCTTGTTTATTTGAGTCTGGGCTTTTCATACAATCTATAATTCATAACATTGTCTTCAAATCATTATCTAACATTCAGATTCCCCGTGCCGTCGTTGCCAAACACCTCTCTGGTGCCTTATCTGATCTCTGATGCTATCCCTATTGCCGTAGTCTGCTACATGTTTGTAATGTCGATGGGAAAGCTGTTTGCAAAGAAACATAAGTACAGAACGGATGCTACTCAGGTAAAACAGCACGACAAGTGATGATTTTACTCCCAAGTGGCTGAATCATTGCAAAAGTTGAAAACCTGAAGCGGCAACGCTAAATTGGCGAGAATTGGCGTCAATTAGTTATGGGCATGGCTCAGCCCCGCTAAGGCACCAATACTTTGTGGCTCACCGGCGATGATACTAGTAATACAGCGGGTGTGAAATGAAATATGAGGCTGTAGGGTCAGAATTCGCTCTCGAAGAGACTTTTTTTCAAGGAATTCTATGCTGTTGGAATAATGTCTGTTGCTTCGTCATTCTTTCCCGTATATCCTGTAGGCGCTTCACTTAGCAGATCGTCAGTTTGTGAAATGTCTGGAGCGAATACTCAGGTGGATTTATCGATTGATATTGATTTGGTTTAGACTAGAAATTAGGTTGAATGAATCGATATTCGACGGAAATCACTGAAATCACTATTTCAGCTCTATACCGTGTTTTCATCGACACTTCTACTTACTGTGATACTTAGCCTAGGTCCATTCTTAGAACCGCTACCCATGGTAAGTCTGTTGGGAAATTCTGCTTGGTTTAGACATTACTTCCTTAACATGTTTCGGTCTTTGCGAAAATTTTCGAAAAATTTCATAAAATCCATCAAAGTGAGGCACTTTAGTGTATTCTGGCCTGTATAGTTATTGTAAGCCTGAAAAGTCTCTTCCTTCAAGTCAAAGAACTACCTCGATACTGGCGGATCAGCAAATACGATTTTGTGAGTGGCATTCTTTGTAAGAGACATTCTTTTTTCATTTATCTACTTGCTCACTTCCCTGGTGATACCTAATGATACCTATTTATTCAGGCAATTTGGCTGACAGCATGTGTGACGACCATAATAACCGACGTGACAAAAGGTCTCGTCATATCGCTGACTTTTGCGTTGTTCACCGTTGTCCTCAGAGAGCAGTGGTGAGTCTTTCTGAACTGTCTCCAGTAAGAGCTCAACCCAGTCCG